TTTCAACACTGAAGAGTCGTGTTTCCTTGCTATTTATAGATAAGGGAATCTCCAAAACGTCACTCGAAAGGGGTTAAGAAAATATTTAGTCAAAATTTTATATCCCAAGATGAAACGGGAAAGACTAAGAAAATTCTTAGGTATTGCGCTAATTCTTTGCCAAGAATCATGCTTAGACTGTTTGTGAATTTAAGAAAACTTATGTCAATTTCTTAGAAAATTCTTTGTGAATAACGTTATTCATAACGTTCTTCATCTCCAATATCTTGTACATGGCAAGAGGACAAGTACTGTCACTCATCTGGGTGTTAATCCCTCTCCCCCATTCTACCGTAAACGGTACACAGGTGAAGGCAGCAAGTCCATTTCCATCATCATAACAAATATCTGCTAGAGGCAGGGTCCAGTGATTGTCTCATCAGCATGTGTTAGTGAATCACTATGAAGGCGGAACGACACCGGGTGTCCAGGGCGACGCGGACATAGGAGAGGCCGACTAGTGGTTACCTGGGGATATATAGTGTTATATAGCATACACTCCCCTATATCAATATGACTGTTTATAACACACTATAACCTTACTTAAGCAGATGTTTGTATTTTTGAAGTCCATCTTTATTTATACTGATCGGGGTGGTGTTGTACAAAGCGATCTTAGCGCTAAGGTGATCGTAACTCCCATAGCTTAACCTAGACTTGAAATTTGGGCTGGTATTGATCGTACCAACACTTATCTATATGCATGTATATACCACCTTTTGCATATACATGTAACATGTAAATCGGTGTACTTGACTAATCTACAAGAACAACTTTACGAACGTTTAGTTATTGTGTGTATTTGTGTTTGTTCTTGTGTTTGTTTGTGATTGTGTAAGCCTGTGCGTGCGTGCGGGTGTGCGGGTGTGCGTGTGTGTGTGGGTGTGTATGTGTGCGTGCCTGTACTTGTCCGTACTAATACCGATTATACAGACTATTTGGGTAACATGAACACCCAACTGGAACACAGTGTACTTGACTCCGAGCCACATTTTGAGCACCATCTTTTTACTTCTCTTGATATGACGCGGCCGGGCATCGAACCTAATGTGGTATGGACGTAAGTGGAGCAGTCTTGTCCCTGAGTAAGTGTTCTCTGGAGTAGTATGGAGTAAGTTTCGCAAATACTCTTCATGGTTCCTATAGGCTGTTGGCTGCTGTAAACAGTCATTTCCTCAATGGGGAGTAGACGATCATCACAATTACCTTCTTTCAGTGTCTACGTTTCTGTTGGGTCCTTTTGGGCCATTGTTACTTTACTTATGAAGGTCAACGTATGACCAAACCAAAAAATAACGTATACTCGCCCGGATTTTACTGAAATATCACACAAAGCAGCTTTAAACAAACCCGCCCTCTTGAGGAAACAAACATGTCTGGTAACTTTTCTGGATAACTTTCACAGCGGATATCTGTCAATGAAATGTAATAAGACGATAGGCGATATGCCCTGAAGACATATTTTTAACCTTTGATCCCCGTGAAGATCCGGGGTAGAATAGGTCTTCAGCATCCCCAGCTTGCCGTAAAAGGCGACTATGCTTGTCGTAAAAGGCGACTTTGCTTGTCGTAAAAGGTGACTATGCTTGTCGTAAGAGGCGACTAACGGGATCGGGTGGTCAGGCTCGCTGACTTGATTGATACATGTCATCGATCCCAATTGCGTGGAACGATGCTCGTGATATCAATCACTGGATTGTCTGGTCCAGACTCGATTATTTACAGACCGCCGTCATATAGCTGAAATATTGTTGAGTGCGGCGTAAAACAACAAACAAACCAAAAGGTTAACCTTGGAGGAACCAAATACCAGTATCATAACCGCGAATACATTTGACTTAATTGTTGCATGAATGTAAATAATAAATGATAGTGAAATCACTTCAATCGCTCTACGTAAGACAAATACATATGAATACTATGGTTATTGTTTAACTCCAGGAAACAGAAAGAACATGTTCGTGGCATGCATCCGTGGGGGATTCCAGGTCAGGATAGCTCTCCGGTACATGTACTCAATGTGTGACGCAAGAGGTGATTGAATCACAATGAGTTGGGATTGATTTTAGCCCGATAAACTTCGCTGTCTAGGGAAATGTGTCATTTGAAATTAAATATTATCATTTTCCTCATAGGAAGTTTCCTGTACCGTCGTTATTCAACCTTTGAATATTCATTTGCCACAGTGACAGAAACTAACTTTACACTGAATTACGTGTAGGTTTTGTATGGTCAGTCTGTCCTTCATCACGTGACATTAGACTGAAATAGTCACACGTCTAATGATGTTCAGGTAAGATAGCAAAAGCAAAGATTAAGACATTTCTTGACTCAAAACCATTACTGACGACATAGTCTTGTTAGCGTAAACACATTGCATGACAATAAACAGAATCGATAAACCATTTCCACATTCATTGTACGATTCCGACTATAGCGTGGGTAGGTGTTACTCACTCACTCACTCACTCGACCCTTGAACATCCGGGTCAGGAAAGGTCTTCAGCAACCCAAACTTGTCGTAAAAGGAGGGAAGGGAAGGAGTGATCAGTCTCGCTGACCTCATCGATGCATGTCATCGTATCCCAATTGCGTCAATCATTGAATTGACTGGTCTAGACTCGGCTGTTTACAGACCGCCGTCTTATAGCTGAAATAGTGCTGAGGGCGGCGTTAAGCAACAAACGAACACTTCCAATCAGCGGAAACCCGATACGTGGAAGAGGTGCCTAGGTTAAAGAAGTATTGCAATATGTTCATCCAGTATGGACTGTATGGGTCCCCATGCCTGTCATAAGTATATAATATTAAAGACAATTAATATGTGATCTGGCTGATCACGTGTTGTCCCGATAGTTGCTCATGCTGTCAGCCACCGGTAGCCTGTCCAGGGTGGACTATTCAAAGGCCGTCATGATGTAGATGGGATATCGCTGCGTTAACATCACTCACTCTCACGCCTCTGCCTCTGAATCGTCATACTGCATGCCTCGTGGTTTTAATGCGTGGTACTGTGTTGTGGCTAGTTGATATTTGGACAGGAAGGCCACTCTAATTACTCAATGCAGCTGTCACCGTGGTTGGCCTCTTGAAGTTTGTTAGAGGCTGCACAATGTCGTTGGTCAACAAAAAAGATAATATATTCTTCAAATTAATATATATTTTAAAATGTAGGCCTAGTTTAGTTTTATTTTATAAAGGCCCATGGCTACAGATGGGCCGATAATCTAACAATTTGTGGACTGAAAAAGTCTCAGATGTTTTCGGCCCTTATAAACCTTTATGGTTTAAACCGAAGTGACTGCTGATTTCTTATCACATTTCCCCATCAAATGACAGAGATATATTTTTTGTTCACTAAATAGTTGTTTGAAATACAATTGTCTGGACGTAGTAAAGCTTCTTTACAAGTACGTTTAGTTTAGAGCGGGAACATAGCTTTCACTTTCAATAACCCTACTGATCTGTTTCACGTGTCATGTCAAGTAGAAACTTTAAAGAACATTTTCACATGAAACATCCAACGTGACTCGTTAACTTAATCCAGCAGCTCCATACATTTTTAGGTATTGTCTTAGGTCAAAAACAGTACCTGTGTTACCATGAATGTTTTGTCAGTAAATTTCAATCACAACTCACCAATATCTTCTTTATTTGTTGTCAAATGTGTGTTCTATCGCCCAGCTCCTGTGGTCAGTCATACCATGCAATGATTTTTGTCATGGTTCAAAAATAGGGGTGTGCTTAACTTTTTTCTTTGTGTATATATATACACAGACCGCCTCCGTGGCCTAGTGGTAGTAGGCGCTCGGCATTAAGGGACTAAAACAATTACTGGTTGGCTAGCAGTCAGTATACTGTGTCTGAGTGCGGTATTCATGTTAAACTGGGGCATGGTATCTCAGTGGGCTATCACTATAAAATCGGCATTAAATCGGGACTAGTAGAAGCAGCCCCTCACACACGTGCATGCACGCCGCTATATAAGGGCAATAGTCTTGAATGCCAGGTTAAACCCCATTTCACCTCACCTCACAGATTTACACATTCTGTATTTATATGGTGGAGCTACGTAACCTGTATAACGGTGCTTAATTACATCTGGAAACATTGCTTATAATGGAATACAGTTGGAGTGGAAGTGATGCAGCCTTTAACGCAGTGTGGATCCGTGACCGAGTTCACAGTGACGACAGCAGCAACTTGGAACAAGTGAGTTGGGTTTAACGTACAGTATGCCGGTTATATCACGGCGTGTCAGGACGTGGGAGGAAACTCCCAAGTGATGCAGATTGTTTCTGTTCACCACTTCAGGGAAACCCACGAGAACAGGTATGGTGTTGACAAACCTAGAAACATAATCGGGGCGAATCGGAATTCGAACGTGTGATCATAGGATCTAGTAACTAAAAGCGACAAAACCCTCCCATAATCATAATAAATGTCTGCTGATCCTGGTACACGGTGCTAACACCAAGACGCTAAGGCGAGTCACGTGTTCACCTGACAAAACACGGAACATATCATATAAGTCAAAATAGTGATTTGCATCAGAAATTAATTTTTTTCACTGATGCGTCAAATTTGGAAATGTCTACTCACGTTTAGAAAGCTTTACTGATCAAACAACTTCTGAGTAAGAGTCATATGACGCTCCTTGAAATCTTAGTAGAAAGAGCATACTCCATGGTGTAGCGCACATGCATTGAAGGTCTAATATTGTAAACAGGTGTCAGAGGTCAGGGTCTCGTTATTGACCATGTGCGGGCTGATATCGTTTCGTTGAAGATCAATAAAGTCTTCGTCTCACTCCATCAAACATCACATCATTTGTCAACAGTCAGCAGACCAAGGGCCATCACGGACTTGGTACCTCTAAGCTTGTGAACTGTGGGCACCAACGGCTGGAGCTGCAGGAGTATTGAGCGACATAGAGACACAAAGGGAAAGATGGCCATTGGAAAGTTGAAGTCATCCCTCTTGTCGTACAGGATATTTTATTGTTACTTTGAACCTTAATGTATAGATCTAAATATGAAACAACAACAAGTTAAGTTTGAGGTAAATTACGGCGCCTCACACGCTGTTGTGTTTATCACTGATGGAGTTCTACAAGTATACAGGATAAATAAAAGCGACAAAACTCTTTACATCAGCATACGACTGCTAAAAGCATGAGTCCTAAGCATGATTTAAAATCACAACACACACACACGCACGCATAACACACACGCACGCATAACACACATTCACTCGCAACCCGCACCCACAACACGCACGCACGCACGCACGCACATGCACAACTCCAGATAATGTTTGAATACTGCAACTGGTCTTCCAGACATGCATAACCAGTCAGCTGTCGTGAAATATAATCCCTCTTGTGTCGCGATATTTCTTCCTATTTTTCAATAGTAATAACATAAACGTAATTAAATAATATAATATTCTACCATGACCTAGAAGTCTGATTGATTTTGAATGGTTAAAAAGAGGTGATTAGCTAATACGCTGGGTTCCAAATTTCAATAATAGGTATCTACTCTAAAGTTGGACTATACCAAATTTCAATTACCGCCAAAATAATATGTACATTTGAATAACGACCCTTCCACACAACGCATGTTGAAAGTCTGTGAAATTATTACCCCGGTCCCGATCATCATAACCTGTCAACCTGCATGCTGAACACATACACACAGTCCTATCTGAAGCAGGTTCTCTAATGTGGTAACCGTCGCCTGTAGTTTGTGTAAGGCCTGGCAGCACATTCCATGCAATACGTGATGTACTGTATCTCCTGAAACATCCTCTGTCTAACATCAATATGACAGCATCACCATGCTTTCTTTGAGTGACTGTTGGCCGGGTGATGACTTCGTGGTTGCCATGGTTGCTGGGACGGTGAACTTGTATGGCTACACCTCTGTTGTCTTCACAACCTTATCGTCATCAGCTGCAATTATATAACAAGTGTTGGTACATGTACATATTAAACAATACAATTCTCTCCTCTAATTAATTTTCTTAATACTGATTTTGTGGAATAGAACTGTCTGACTTGCTTTTTCTCTAAAATAGATCAGTACTGGTTTCATAATATACACCTTCCACAGTCACGGATACGACCCGCACGGCAGTGGTACATTCATACGATGTCGATATAACCTGAGCGCTCATTGGGCAGTGCACTCGCTGGTTTCCCTCCCGCTGGGGCCAGGCCGAGGGTTGATTGGGTGGATCAAAAAAGCGAAACACAGCAAGGCGGCAGTGCGACAACACAGCAAGGCGGCAGTGCCACAACACAGCGACAACACAGCAAGGCGGCAATGCGACAACACAGCGACAACACAGCAAGGCGGCAGTGCAACAACACAGCGACAACACAGCAAGGCGGCAGTGCCACAACACAGCAAGGCGGCAATGCCACAACACAGCAACAACACAGCAAGGCGGCAATGCCACAACACAGCAAGGCGGCAATCCGACAACACAGCAACAACACAGCAAGGCGGCAGTGCCACAACACAGTGACAACACAGCAAGACGGCAGTGCCACAACACAGCGACAACACAGCAAGGTTGCAATGCCACAACGCAGCGACAACACAGCAAGGCGGCAATGCGACAACACAGCAAGGCGGCAATGCGACAACACAGCGACAACACAGCAAGGCGGCAGTGCCACAACACAGCGACAACACAGCAAATCGGCAGTGCCACAACACAACGACAACACAGCAAGGCGGCAGTGCCACAACACAGCGACAACACAGCAAGGCGGCAGTGCCACAACACAGCGATAACACAGCAAGGCGGCAATGCGACAACACAGCAAGGCGGCAGTGCCACAACACAGCGATAACAGCAAGGCGGCAGTGCCACAACACAGCGATAACACAGCAAGGCGGCAGTGCTACAACACAGTGACAACACAGCAAGGCGGCAGTGCCACAACACAGCGATAACACAGCAAGGCGGCAGTGCCACAACACAGCGACAACACAGCAAGGCGGCAGTGCCACAACACAGCGATAACACAGCAAGGCGGCAGTGCCACAACACAGCAAGGCGGCAGTCCCACAACACAGCGATAACACAGAAAGGCGGCAGTGCAACAACACAGCGACAACACAGCAAGGCGGCAGTGCCACAACACAGCGATAACACAGCTAGGCGGCAGTGCCACAACACAGCGACAACACAGCAAGGCGGCAATGCCACAACACAGCGACAACACAGCAAGGCGGCAATGCAACAACACAGCAAGGCGGCAATGCGACAACACAGCGACAACACAGCAAGGCGGCAGTGCCACAACACAGCGACAACACAGCAAATCGGCAGTGCCACAACACAGCGATAACAGCAAGGCGGCAGTGCCACAACACAGTGATAACACAGCAAGGCGGCAGTGCGACAACACAGCAAGGCGGCAGTGCCACAACACAGCGATAACAGCAAGGCGGCAGTGCCACAACACAGCGACAACACAGCAAGGCGGCAGTGCTACAACACAGCAACAACACAGCAAGGCGGCAGTGCCACAACACAGCGATAACACAGCAAGGCGGCAGTGCCACAACAGAGCGACAACAGAGCAAGGCGGCAATGAGACAACACAGCAAGGCGGCAGTGCCACAACACAGCGATAACAGCAAGGCGGCAGTGCCACAACACAGCGATAACACAGCAAGGCGGCAGTGCCACAACACAGCGACAACACAGCAAGGCGGCAGTGCCACAACACAGCGATAACACAGCAAGGCGGCAGTGCCACAACACAGCGACAACACAGCAAGGCGGCAGTGCCACAACACAGCGATAACACAGCAAGGCGGCAGTGCCACAACACAGCGATAACACAGAAAGGCGGCAGTGCAACAACACAGCGACAACACAGCAAGGCGGCAGTGCCACAACACAGCGATAACACAGCAAGGCGGCAGTGCCACAACACAGCGACAACACAGCAAGGCGGCAATGCCACAACACAGCGACAACACAGCAAGGCGGCAATGCCACAACACAGCAAGGCGGCAATGCGACAACACAGCGACAACACAGCAAGGCGGCAGTGCCACAACACAGCGACAACACAGCAAATCGGCAGTGCCACAACACGGCGATAACAGCAAGGCGGCAGTGCCACAACACAGTGATAACACAGCAAGGCGGCAATGCGACAACACAGCAAGGCGGCAGTGCCACAACACAGCGATAACAGCAAGGCGGCAGTGCCACAACACAGCGACAACACAGCAAGGCGGCAGTGCTACAACACAGCAACAACACAGCAAGGCGGCAGTGCCACAACACAGCGATAACACAGCAAGGCGGCAGTGCCACAACAGAGCGACAACACAGCAAGGCGGCAATGCGACAACACAGCAAGGCGGCAGTGCCACAACACAGCGATAACAGCAAGGCGGCAGTGCCACAACACAGCGATAACACAGCAAGGCGGCAGTGCCACAACACAGCGACAACACAGCAAGGCGGCAGTGCCACAACACAGCGATAACACTGCAAGGCGGCAGTCCCACAACACAGAGATAACACAGCAAGGCGGCAGTGCCACAACACAGCGACAACACAGCAAGGCGGCAGTGCCACAACACAGCGACAACACAGCAAGGCGACAGTGCCACAACAGAGCGATAACACAGCAAGGCGGCAGTGCCACAACACAGCGATAACACAGCAAGGCGGCAGTGCGACAACACAGCAAGGCGGCAGTGCCACAACACAGCGACAACACAGCAAGGCTGCAGTGCCACAACACAGCAAGGCGGCAGTGCCACAACACAGCGACAACACAGCAAGGCGGCAGTGCCACAACACAGCGATAACACAGCAAGGCGGCAGTGCCACAACACAGCGATAACACAGCAAGGCGGCAGTGCCACAACACAGGAACACGCCAGTGCGACAACACAGTGATAACACAGCAAGGCGGCAGTGCCACAACACAGCGATAACACTGCAAGGCGGCAGTGCCACAACACAGCGATAACACAGCAAGGCGGCAGTGCCACAACACAGGAAGAGGCCAGTGCGACAACACAGCGATAACACAGCAAGGCGGCAGTGCGACAACACAGCAAGGCGGCAATGCAACAACACAGCGACAACACAGCAAGGCGGCAGTGCCACAACACAGCGATAACACAGCAAAGCGGCAGTGCCACAACACAGCGACAACACAGCAAGGCGGCAGTGCGATAACACAGCAAGGCGGCAATGGGACAACACAGGAAGACGGCAGTGCTACAACACAGCGATAACACAGCAAGGCGGCAGTGCGACAACACAGCGACAACACAGCAAAGGGCAGTGCCACAACACAGCGATAACACAGCAAGGCGGCAATGCGACAACAAAGCAAGGCGGCAGTGCGACAACACAGCATGGCGGCAGTGTGTATTCACGACTGATGATGGGACGTAGTGAATGCACACTCGTTAAGCATTAACGTCTTAAATCGGGAAGGAAAAGTGTACTGGCGTTCCATGTCCTTTATTGTACAGAAAACGTTTTTGGTACTTTGGGGGTTATTTGGGTGAATATGCTCAATGTATATTGCTCCAGTTTAGAGTTACAAATACGTTCACCACAATTCACACAGCATCACTCCTATTAGTGTTGCTGTACAACTCTGTGTGAGATAGAAAACTTTACCCAGTTTAACTGTGCGTGCTTTCCGTCTTCTCAAGAGGACAATACTGACGACGATGACGATGATAATGACAACAGCAATACTTCCACCAACGGCAATGTAGATAATTGGCAGTTGATTTTCTGTAATGAATCAAGTAACATAATTAGAGAATAACCTACGAGTTTGGAGCTACTAGGAATTACAGATTATCCGTCCTGTGTGATTTAATGTGACAAACCCCGATAATACTTCCGGGTTGCGAGTTAGTTATTTTCTTTATTACCAATAATCTGTCTTTCTGAGAGAAGTGGAAATATGTGATTTCCTTATGTGAAGAGGAGACATAAACTCGGTCAACTTGTTGTTGGAGCGACGTCATGACAATGGAAAATATATCGAATGATAAGCAATATTTCCGGACGTTAATATAAGGGTATTTTGAATCTATACTCAACAACAAAAGTTCTTGTGACACCAATATGTATACCAGTGTATTTTCAAACAAGTAAAGTTTGGTTTTCAATATTGTAGTACATGTATGGAATCAAGTCACAAAAACGCAACTGCTACAGAAAAGCTTGCATTCCATGAAAAAGTTGACTTTTATGCAAGTCCCATGCATTTCACTACCCAAGAATGGGTATTAAAACATTTGCGTCAACGGGATTCCATATGCATTGTTTAGCATCGTGCTGACAACAACCACTCAGAAAAACAACAAAATTACTCAATTATTCAACATTACGAAATGCCACGCCTGTCCGAAAATGAGCGTCTGCGAGCCATTGGTATGCTTGAAGCAGGATCGAGTCAACGTGATGTTGCAAGACAATTTAAGGTCCACAGAGACACCTTTTGGTGTTTATGGCAAAGTTGGCAACAGACGAATGCAGTCAGAGACCATCCTCGGAGTGGCAGACCACGAGTAACCAATAATTGACAAGACAACTGGATTCGAACAACACACCTACGAAATCGATTCTAGCCATCAACAATGACTCTAGAAGCATCCCTAGCCTTCGACGAATATCTTCACAAACCGTACGTTGTCGCCTCAGGTGGGCATGGATTTTCGCCAGAAAACCCGCCGGACGTCCCATTTTGACAGGAAACCACCGTCAAGCACGTCTACAGTGGTGCAGACAGCGTCTACGCTGGACGGCCATGCAGTGGGGACAAGTTCTATTCACTGACGAGTCTCTTTTTCACCTCAGCCACAGCGAAGGACGGATTCGAGAGTACCGACGTCGAGGTGAACGTTACGTCAATCATTGTGTCATGGAAGAAGATCGGTTCGAGGGTGGCAGCGTTATGGTATGGGGTGGGATTACAGCAAGACAGAGGACCCGTTTGATAGTGGTAGAGGGAAATATCAATGGACAGCGCTACCGCGATGAGTTCATCGGCCCTATTGTTCTACCGTTTTTGCGTCGTCATGGCCCAGGCATTACCTTTTAACATGACAACGCCCGGCCTAATAATGCTCGACTTGTTCGGGATTCTCTTCAACAAAACAACGTGATGTCATCCCCTGGCCGGCTCGCTCCCCTGATCTCTTACCAATCGAGCACATGTGGGATGAGATGGACTGGCGCCTTCGACGTCAACCACGTGTTCCACAGACACTCCAGGAACTTTGAAACATTCTCCAGCAGATATAGACAGGTATCCCACAGGACTTTGTGCGACGCCTGGTCCATTCCATGAGACGAAGATGTGTTGCTTGCATCGCAACCAGAGGTGGACACACACGCTATTGATTTGTGAAATGACATTTCGCCATGTCCATGTTTTTTTTTATATGAAATCACACATTTTCTGAAGTCAATATGGCAAATTAAACCATTTGAACACTTACAGGAGTCTTTTATCTGTTGCAAACCCAAATTGTTTCAGATTTGGTAAAAAACATAACTTTGCATAAAATCTTATTCAATGTCACAGGAACTTTTGTTGTTCAGTAAAGTTCCTCACCAGGCATGTGTTGTTTATTTATTCATCTATCTATATACGTTTCTAGCATCTATTTCACAGAACCCGAAATATGCAGTTAGAATGATAATTTATAAGTAGGTCATAAACAGGTTAGGGATGTTTTACCACTCCATCAAAACTTTCTCAAAAATCAATATTTTAAAAATATCATATCTCTTTCTGTGGGCGTCGCTGATGTGTGTTCAACAGTATAAATCGTGACTTTAGATACCACTGAAGTTCTTTCTATGTCTATACAGGAACAAGACTTACGAATAATGTTTTCAACAATGGGAACCCAAATCGTCATATGGCAATGCCCAATAATGCCAAATAAAATACCAGGATATTATTTCTGTGTTGCATCGTGTTTATCGCACCGTGTGTCAACCTTCAGAGACACGTGGGGATTCCGGGTTAGTACAGGGGCCCTGCACCTACACGTATGCTGGTCATAAAATGCGAATAAGTAGATCGGTGACTTGGTTGATAGTGTGTTAATGTACCGATGGCGTGGATTGTTGCTTATAATATCAAACACTGCATTGTCTCGTCCATATTTGGGTTGTTTTTTTCAGGCCGCCGTCATATAGCTTGAATATTGCGGCGTTAAACAATACACATACAGAACACTCTCCTCAAGAATGGATATATGATATTTATGATACCTGGCTTAGTTGACGTCACTGATGTTTGTCCCACGCTCTGAGTCGTGTCTGTGGACGTCGGGGAAGATGTCGCCGGTGTACTTGCCGTCTCTGTTAAGGATAACACACGGGCGGATAGTGGTAACCCAAATTTACAAAAATACATCGTCATATGACAGTAATCAAGAATGCCAAATGAAATACGAGGATACAATTTTCGTGCTGGCTATCTCACCTTCCTTCATGCTACAGAAAAGAAATGTATGGGTGTAACATGGGTCACATGGAAAAGTAGATAATAAAAGTTGAAGTACATACTGCTTACTATTGTTCATATCAATTAAAGATCTTCTATCCACCTCTATCAATATATATATATATATATATATATATATATATATATATATATATATATATATATATATATATATCAGGACGTTAAACATTTAAAGTACACTGCACATGTCAATAGTGGCTGCGCGCACAAATTTCAAGCTGAGCTTGTAATGACGCATTCCATTAATTCAAACAGGAATTATAATATTGAGAAACTCAACAGATATAATAATGCCATTACATTTTTAAGTCATTATACTTTGACTTGTAGCTGCAGTTCAGTTCGGTCCATGGAGACAAATACATACCATTACCTGTCCCTGTACCTGTACTGGTTGAAATGTGACTGGATGTTGATGAAACTATTTCTTCATCAGTTGTAATTGTAGACGTTGCAGATGCTGGCGTTGTGGTGACAGATGTTGAACGTGTTGGTTCATCTGTTACAGCTGAAAAAATATGAACTGTTGTTGTTTGTTGTTTACCTCCGCACTCAGCACTATGCCAGTGAATTGGCAGCGGTCTGTAAGTAATTGAGTCTGGACCAGACAATCCAGTGATTGACATCATGAGCACGAATCTTCGCAATAATGTACAGTGCGAATCTTGTTTGAATCATGAGATGTATCTGATTAAACCTTGTAGGTTAACTAAATTTTCTATACTGGTTCGAAATAATATTTAATTAGTTTGGAGGTTGTTGGTTTTACGTAAAATATTTACTCAAAAGACTCCATCAAATTTGGATTTTACACTGTCAGAATTTTACCTTATCACTATGTTTGTATTTTCAAATGTGTTTATGTTACGTAATATGTCACATTGTAGGGGAACACAACATTGCAGTAATAATATTTTGGTTTTATGAAGCTAATGCATTTATCAATTTTCAGACTGTCCAACACTCATCGTAGAAGCAGCGCATCAATATCTACTCACCTATTGTTACAGTTTGGCTGGTTTCACCTGTACGTGGAACATTACAGTACCATAAAGTTCCATTGTCTACAGTAGAGTTTATACGGAGAGTCAGATTGTGTTGGAGAACACCACAGCTGATACTGACACGTTTTGACAAGTAGGTATCAAAATATGCATTCTGGACCACAACCACATCGCACGTATCATTAAATGTTGTTTCCACTACGGAAACATTCCTCCAGTACCAGGTAATCTTTGATGCTGATATATTGTTGGTGCTGGAAAACATTAGTGTGTACGCGTTTCCTTCTGTGGCCTTGGAGGGGAATGTCGTCAGTTGCAGGGAACCTGGTGACACAACAGTTAAATGTGTACTATACAACCGACGCTGTTGATTATTATTCCGTGAATGTTGTAATGTTACACTGTGCCATTATTTGTAATCTTAAAGTGTCAGTTATCATGTTCCTTTAAACTCTCTGACCCACAATCGGATGATGAATGTAAAGCATAATGAAGATATCGTTTCATACAAAAAATATTATTAAACACATGTGGCTATATATATATATCTGGTTGAACTGTGATCAAAACTAGCCAACAGTCGTTTATTTGTACTGTGAGTGTAAGGAAAACAGATTTTGGCGCATGTACTTAATGATCAAACTTACACAATAACCAATTCCCTTCCACTGATTTACCCACCTGAACTAGAAATAACGTAAAGCAGACCGATGAGACCACCTCATCCGTTTCATATTTAGATATATGCAGATTCAGAGTTACAAACCACTGTGGGCGAGACTACATGACAAGAGGGATGACTTCAACTTTCCATTAACCTGCATAAACGTGAATACACAATGCCATTTAGAAAGTGGTCAAATGTAACAAATGTTATATTTGGGATAGTACATATTCTCGTACTTTTGGGGGTTGAGTCCCGTCCGGGATTCGAACCCATACTTGCCAGAGTGAGGCACCTAATCGCCAGCACACAAAGTCAGCGATCTAACCCACTCAACCACCGAGGCTTCCACAAAAATGAAAGTCCGACAGCTGGTAGTCTAGATCACGTTCTTTGAGTACCCCTCTGACAAGTGTAAATTGGCACGGCTCCCATGGACGGGACTCAGCCAAAAAAGTACGAGAATCTGTACTTTACTAAGAAAGTGTTGTCCCAAATATAACATTTGTTACATTTGACCACTTTCTAAATGGCATTGTGTATTCATAGCTTTCGGCCATGGGAGCCGTGCCAATTTACACTTGTCAGAGGGGTACTCAAAGTACGTGATCTAGACTACCAGTTGTCGGGCTTTCATTTTTGTGGAAGCCTCGGTGGCTGAGTGGGTTAGATCGCTGACTTTGTGTGCTGGCGATTAGGTGCCTCACTCTGGCAAGTGTGGGTTCGAATCCCGGACGGGACTCAACCCAAAAACGTACGAGAATCTGTACTTAACTAAGAAAGTGTTATCCCAAATATAACATTTGTTACTGAATAAACGTGTTAACGAAAAAGTGTGCTTGCAGATTAAATATACGTAATACATTATGTACTGGGCCTATCTCCCGTAAGTGTCATATGTACAATGACCACGCCCAGCAACACGGGCACAATGACTTTTGTTAATGACAGAATATTGTTTTCGGTTAGTGCTTCTAAACATACCATTTTTACCTGTGAAATAAGAATTCAAACGAATTTTAGGCCCCTCACCACATTGCTATTCAGATCACCTGGCATGTCCTGTATACCATTCATTTATTTTTGTGAAACCCGAGGACAAACTATTTTTGCAGCATATTCTTGTACAGGCTCGTAAAAGAACATCTACGCCGCTTTGTACAGTATTCCAGTTATATCACGGCGTGTCAGCTTTATGTGGGAGGAAAGCCCGGAGTGATGCAGGTCTCAGACGTTTACCACTTCGGTGAAACCCACGAGCACGGAGCAAGGATCAGAGGGGCTAATCTGGGATTCCCACCCACCATCAGCGGATCCCGGCATGACACAGATTGCGGCGCAGTAGACAGCGAATTGAACCTGATGCCCATTTCTGGTCAGACATGTTTGCCTTTAGTTATGACGTGGCCAAAATTTGTATTCTTCTTACAATAGAAGTAATAGTTGACTTTATATAACCTGACAATACATCGATGACCTAATAGTGTATGCATCAGCCTCATTTCCGGTTCGACCTCGATCATCACTGAATATGTTCACAATAAATTAACTGCATAACAGGATATATTGAACGTTGTTATTTACTTACCGTTGACAAATCCGACCACACCACAACACAACACGAACAAGAGGATGTATAAATTATCCATATTATGCTACAGTCCCATGTCACTAGTAGTCAGTCACTGCAGAACAGGTAGCAGGCACATCTGGATGGACACACCTCCAGCTATATCCGCACTTTCTGGGCCGTGGACATGTTTGTGTGTACTGTCATGGACATGACATATCCTGCAGGTATGTTGTATATAGCCTGACGCTACGCCTTAACGAGAGAAGAATTGGCGAGGCTACACAGTTCAAACACCGACAGCGTATTCAGTCAGCACCATTTACAGCACAACAAGCTGTCATACTGACACCCCTACACCTGGCTTGGCACAAAGACTGTGTTGCATTCCCATTCGGATGGTGAAAGGAGAGCAGTGTTCACCCGGACAATTACCAGTGTTCACTGGCAGGCAGTACACACATGATACGTAGAAGAAGGAAGGAGTTTCAGGTGAAGCGTCTCAGAAGCACAAGGCGTGACTCACACAATGATATACTGGTTACTAACACTTGGAGGTTTTACTCACTTGAGACATATGAGACATTTGCAAAATAAATATGGTGTTCACTGTACACCGTAGGGCATTATACTGTCATAAGTGTGTGCTTGCGTGCGTGCGTGCGTGCGTGTGTGTGTGAGTGCGTGCGTGCGTGCGTGTGTGTGTGTGTGTTTTGTTTAACGCCGCACTCAGCAATATTCCAGCTGTATGATGGCATCTGTAAATAATCTGTCTGCATAATCTAGTGAATTACATCATGAGGATCGATCTACGCAATTGGGATTGAGTGAGTATGGTTTTACGCCTCTTGTAGCAATATTCCCGCAATATCACGGCGGGGGACACCAGAAATGTGCTTCACACATAGTACTCATGTGGGGAATCGAGCGAATGTTTAACCACTAGATTACCCCCCACCGCCCCCTACACAATTGGGATACGATGACATGCATCAACCAAGTCAGCGAGCCGGACCACCTGTTCCCGTTAGTCGCCTCTCACGACACTTGTAGTCGCATTTTACGGCAAGCATGGGTTGCTGGAGACCTGTTCTCGCCCTGATTGTTGTCGTAAGAGGCGACTGCGGCTCGGGTGCTCAGCATCGGTGACTTAACAGTGAGGCGCAATGAAATTGCTTCGCCAAGCTATTCCGAACATAGATTTCAAAACCCTTGACGACCCAGTTAACCTTGGTTGACCAATGTCAATCAATCAGATATAGATATAGTTACAGATATAGTTACTATAAATGTGACTTGCCATATTCATTAGAATAATTCCTACACATAAAAATGTTAAAGATAACCTTTGTTTTGGCATATTGATGTTTATACGTTTAAACTGTATTGAAGTTTTGATTTGTAATGGAACTGTGAAGATATCAAAATATCTTTCTACTGATCATGCTTATCTCATCAATGATCAGCACATCAGTCTCCTTAATCCTCTTGTAGACATTCTTCTTTTCATCACTAAGAAGTATCCCATATAAGTCAGGATTTCGGTGTCTTCCATCAACTCAACCCAGCCCAATCATGAAAAGTTCTTCCCTTAAACTGTTTAGAAGCCATACCAGTGCTAGCAGTAACAGACACCCGTTTCCATTTCTCCTTAATCTATCAACAATTTCCTTGATAAGAACTATCATTTTGTGGGTTGCACATGTGTTGTTGTTTTGACACTGACATGACATAAGTAGGTCAGCCAATCAGGTTATTCGCTCGATTCTGCCGAAATCTACTTCCGATCGGGTTTCGTTACATTTTTCCAGCTCGCAAAATAAACTGTTGATACCAGGATTTCGGTAAGTAAGCGACATAAAACGAATTTAGATGATTTGTACATGTGACGAAATGTGTTATCTATCAATCTACGGCCATAGATGTGCTTGTCAATAAGCGTATCATAAAGATTTCGACCTGGATATCGAATGTAGACAAACCTGCAAGATGGCGAGTGACGCTCCCTTTCACTACTTTTATATTGGGGGTATTTAACGTGACGTACGGATTTAGTATCTTACCACCTGTAACTTCACCACGTGGGTAATAAATATTTTTATCTACTGATCAATAACAAGTTCCTGAAGGTTCAATGTAGTCAACCCCTCAAAATCATCATCAAAGTCTAATTATTGGTTAAGTATTTATATGAAGACTCCTTGGTGAATATCAGAATACATATATGCTATAAATGTTAATTATATTCATTAAAATTCTATTATTTGTGATTGAATCAATAAACTTATCAGCTTTATTGATGACGTCACTTGGAGGCTTTTCACCACCAGGGAATCAACCAAAGAAGGACGGGTTACGTGCTGTCATTGGTCAATACCTTGGTCAACAGGACTTCACTTGGGATGACCAGGGTTTCGAAATCGAACGCAAGCACTCTATCCGTGATTCCTCACACAGGAATAACAGGTCATGCATGCGGTAAACATCGGCACAGGAATCAAGACCTGTTTGAATAAACAAGTAGGGGACGTAACTCTGTATGGTATAAATTAATTGTCAACTTAAACCGGTTTCTCAGAGATACGTTTTCAGATTCCTAGCCTCATGCTGGCCTTCAACGATCCAAGCTTGAGGTGAAGGTGGCAATCATTCGTAGTAGACTGGTTATTTAGAACATACGGCGAACGATTAGCAATGTAAACAAGAAAACAAAGTCATGTCAATTCCGGAACCTTTTAAAATGTCTGTACAATCCAGCGTGCGTACATCTTCAAGGGACAAATGTTTATGAAAAGGCTGCACCGCATGATTCCTTGTGTTTCTTAACACTTTAATTCAAGTGAATTATTGATTGTAGTTTTTAAATGGACATTACATTTCACTTGAAAATCATGTAAAAAAAATTAAAATGTTTATTGCACTTTGGTAGTAGCTTTAGCTAGTCACAAAATACCGATACAAAACACACATATGACTCTGCCAAAATGGCAGTGGTTGGCGTATCTGTGTAACGTTTATCTATTATACGAAAAAAAGGCGCGGTAATCACAGCGATCTGTTAATTCTTGACCGAAAAGAACGTGGACATGGTTGAAGGCACGAGAAGCAATTCACAACATCGGGGCACAATTGCCGGTGTTCGATGTGTGAACAGCGCGAGGATGTCGGGGTTGGGACGGGTCGCCCGGTCGTTGAAGAATGATGAAACCCGTGTGTACGTCTGAGACCTGCACATCAGATTCAATAGGAGTCAATATGGATGTCATGTGTGAAGCTCATTTCTGGTGAACCCGACATTGATGTTGCCCGACTATTGCTAAAAGCGGCGTGAAAGCATACTCTCTCTCGGACGAAATAACAGTTTACTTACATTTGTATGTTATTCTCCACTGAACGTATGTGTAAATGTTTTAATGTGACTTGGTAGCCCCTTCATAAGACAACGAACAGGTAACACGTGTTACTTCAGGGCTGCATGTAATCTTGCTTATATCAGTGGATGCATGTCTTCACTGCTCGTCTCGGTATCAGCATCACCCGAAGCCTCGATGTATTGGTCTGTCGATTTGTTGTCATAGTTACTGCAGTATCCGGTGCTGCAGAGGTCGGATACATTGTCATCTGCGATAGTGTAAGATCAAAGGATGTTGCAAGATATTAATCGGTGATACAGTTGTCACATGCTATAACGCACTCACCGTGGTTAGACGCTTCATGTTGAGTACGGCGCATATACATGGTAGGAACACACTTCGGTGGTGTACAGGTTATATAATATCACAATGGCATTCCATTGACGATCGCAATGCATATTTGCAGAGCCACGTGTTATTTTAAACAAGGACAATGAAACCTTGCATACAACCTATTATTTCCTGGAATGCCATGTCCCTATGATTTCTTTTCAGTTGGTGAAGCCATTGTCTAACCCCGGCTTCACCTGGTTCAACTGTCGGCCAGAGTCAGACACACTACGCTTGCTTATCAATGCAGGAACGCTTATTTATTAGAACATTAAGAGTTGCATTCGCTCGACACGGGTTCTATTCCCCACATGGGTACAATATGTGACGCCCATTTCTGGTGTTCTCTGTCGTGATATTGCTGGAATATTGCTAAAAGCGACTTGTAACCATACTCACTCACTCGTCTTGAAAGAAATCGGGTGGGAGAATTGTCACTGACTAATAACAGGAAACATGGTCACACTGTACAGACATAGCCTGACGGCGGTGGCGGGACCTAACACGACTGGGTCCCCAGCAGCCTGTGCTGGCCATGAGTGGCGGCTCAGTTGATAGGGTGGTCAGGTCCGATGACTTCGCTTGATAGATTTTGACAGACCGCCGCAATATTTCCAAGAGGAACACTCGACAGCTCACAGCGCTACAGGGAAAAATAACTATATTTATAATAAAATATTTAATGTAATTTAATGTAGTGTAGTCTGTATTCGAGTAATGTGGTGTCTCTGTACCCACAGTGTTCACTGTGTAGTATTGTAGTAGGCAGTGTCTCCTGTATTCTTGTCTGTATTCTCGTGGTGAGGTGTCTCTGTACCCACAGTGTTCACTGTGTAGTGTTGTAGTAGGCAGTGTCTCCTGTATTCTTGTCTGTATTCTCGTGGTGAGGTGTCTCTGTACCCACAGTGTTCACTGTGTAGTGTTGTAGTAGGCAGTGTCTCCTGTATTCTTGTCTGTATTCACATGGTGTGGTCTCTCTGTACCCACAGTGTTCACTGTGTAGTGTTGTAGTAGGCAGTGTCTCCTGTATTCTTGTCTGTATTCACGTGGTGTGGTCTCTCTGTACCCACAGTCTTCACTGTGTAGTGTTGTAGTAGGCAGTGTCTCCTGAATTCTTGTCTGTATTCACGTGGTGTGGTCTCTCTATACCCACAGTCTTCACTGTGTAGTGTTGTAGTAGGCAGTGTCTCTTGTATTCTTGTCTGTATTCACGTGGTGTGGTGTCTCTGTACCCACAGTGTTCACTGTGTAGTGTTGTAGTAGGCAGTGTCTCCTGTATTCTTCTCTGTATTCACGTGGTGTGGTGTCTCTGTACCCACAGTCTTCACTGTGTAGTGTTGTAGTAGGCAGTGTCTCCTGTATCCTTGTCTGTATTCACGTAGTGTGATGTCTCTGTACCCACAGTGTTCACTGTGTAGTATTGTAGTAGGCAGTGTCTCCTGTATCCTTGTCTGTATTCACGTAGTGTGATGTCTCTGTACCCACAGTGTTCACTGTGTAGTGTTGTAGTAGGCAGTGTCTCCTGTATCCTTGTCTGTATTCACGTGGTGTGGTGTCTCTGTACCCACGGTGTTCACTGTGTAGTGTTGTAGCAGGCAGTGTCTCCTGTATTCTTGTCTGTATTCACGTGGTGTGGTGTCTCTGTACCCACAGTCTTCACTGTGCAGTGTTGTAGTAGGCAGTGTTTCCTGTATCCTTGTCTGTATTCACGTAGTGTGATGTCTCTGTACCCACAGTGTTCACTGTGTAGTATTGTAGTCGGCAGTGTCTCCTGTATCCTTGTCT